TATATGTATAAAAATGAAAACATTATAAGCATCTTACACTTTCTGAAAAACGTATCCTCCTAACTGCTGAAAACCTGGGGAAATTAATATTTTTCTTAAGCTGGGTAGACACTATAACAATATAGAAGGAAAAATTCAGTACGACGAACGATCGTTCGATTTTCATATAGTGTGTATACAACTTTCGACGTCCAATTCAGACTTTCCAAACGAAAATTTCTGAAGGGACAAACTAGTGATTTTCATTTAATGTGTACTGTGTTCGTACAAGAAAAATAGGATACGAATGACTGCGTATGATCAGAAACAATAGACAACATTAATCTACGCTACATTTCTACGTCAAAACAATGAAAAAGCCTTTGTCGTTTGAGAATTTTCATACAATTAGTACCATCCTCGGGTTCGACTTGCTGTGAATCGTTGACACGATTTTCTTATAGTGTGTACACAGCTTAACTGTAGTACAATGTTAATCCTGTGCATTGGATACTTTTAGGCTGTACAGTTAATTTGAAATGTAGTTGAGAGCAGTGGGTGCAGACACAAGATTTTAAAGTACTCTACTGGAATTACCCTCCTCTTTCATGGAAAGGAAAGTAGTTGAAACTGCTATTTAGTTATCTATTTATGTTCTCATGCTGCTTTTTAGTTATTTTTAAAAAATATCAACAATGTCAATTTGGATTCACATATGGCACCCACTGTTGATAAATACTAGTTTAATACGGTCACCATTCAGATATGAATACACTACTAAGTTCAAGAGCATGCTGGAGTACAGCATCGTGTCATATTCATGTGACAGCTGGTAGAGTCAATACATGTAGAAATGAATGATCCACTGGGAAGCAAGCAGAGCTTCTCTGCAGTTTCCCGGCAGCTTCTGGCAGTTTGCTTGATTAACTCAGTAGGAGTAAAATGCTTTTAATGGCCAAGTTTTGACTTTCCTCATGTCTGACATGCATTGTGTGTGCAATATATAAATCATCTATATTTAATATGATATGACAAATAGTCTTCTTCAATTATTAAATAGGTTTATAGTTGAAGTTAAAGCAGAATTCCAATTAAACTCTAACTACTTTTAAAAATGCTTCCTCTCCCCTCCCAACACCTATTCTGACTACCCTGTATAAGAAGAGATCTGCATACTTACCTATTTTCAGGCCACTTCCATCAGGTCAAATTATATTCTGTGTCGACCAGCAGCAGAATGGGGATGGAGAAAACGCTCGACAATGGTTAGTATTGCCTGAGCAGCGACATCCCATTGGCTCATCCATTGTCGGCGCTCCCTCCCCTGCCACTGGCACAACCTGACAAAGAAGAGTAGATCACATCACTGGAGCGGCCTGAAAATAGGTAATTAAACAGATCTTTTTTACACAGGTTAGTCAGAATGTCCATGTTTAATTAGTCTTATAGATTCACATATTGCATTGTTATCTTGGATGTCGCTCCATTTCCTCAAATTGAACCTTTCCAAAACTGAGCTCCTAATTTTCCCCCCAGCCTGTGCCCCCCACCCCACCCTCTCCATCACGACCAACAATGCACCACCATCACTCCCACCCCGCAAGCCAAAGTCCTAGGTGCCACTCTTGACTCAAACCTGTCCTTCCAACCCCATGTCCAATCGTTGGCAAACTCATGCAGACTCCACCTCCGCAACATCTCCAAAATACGTTCGTACCTAACCCCAGACACTACTAAACAGCTCGTTCACTCCCTTATTATCTCACGACTCGACTACTGCAACTCCCTCCTCATCACAGACTATCCCGGCTTCAGTCTATCCTGAACTCAGCGGCCAGACTCATCCACCTTACCAACCGTTCCTCTTCTGCCACCCCCCTCTGTCATTCCCTCCACTGCCTTCCGATTGCCCAATGCATTAAATTCAAACTACTAACACTGACATACAAAGCCATTCATAACGCTGCCCCCAAACTACCTCACCGACCCGATACCCAAATACCACCCTACCCGTAATCTTCGCTCCTCACAAGACCTCCTACTTTCTAGCTCCCTGGTCTCCACCTCCCACGCCCAACTGCAGGACTTCCCCCATCCTCTGGAACTCTCTACCCCAATCCATCAGACTGTCACCTTCCCTCCTCACCTTCAGGCGCACCCTGAAAACCCACCTCTTCAGGGAAGCCTACCCCACCCTCACCTAATTGCTGATCTACACTCCTCTTACTACTCCATCCCCCCCCACAGCCACTTCCTCCTGTACCACTATCCCCTCCCTCCTAGATTGTAAGCTCGAAAGAGTAAGTCCCTCGAACCCATCATGTTTTGTCTTGTTACTGTATTGTCTCATGTACTGTCCCCCACTATAATGTACAGCGCTGAGCAAACCTTTTGGCGCTATATAATGTATAATAATAATCTTTGAGTGGGAGGTGCAGCATTATATTTTTTTCTTTTTTATAGTTGTGTTGGTTGTGGGAACATAATTACATTGCTAGCAGCCAATACCTTTTAGCATATTTTACATGGTGCACAATATATATTTTTATAAATTGTTAGAGGCGTGGGATACATTCACTTTACTTTTAAGAGTAGTTAGGGTGTGACCAGAATTCTACTTCAAAGGCTATAGCTTAGCTTAGATAGAAAACACCTAATGAAATATGGGAGCTACCAATGTTGGCCTGCTTCTGAAAAGGCTAGCTATTTAGTTCTGACTGGTTTTAAAGTCATGGACCAAGGGCAAGCATGTTGCAAATAAAGAAGAACAGTCAGAATTCATTATTTTTTACCTGATACAGGACAGTAAATCAAAAGAATGAGAGCAAAAACATCACCATGACACCCAGGCCTAGTATTCCCAGGAGATGTCAGCTCCCATATTTGTTCTGGTAGTTCTTCTTAAAATACAAATTGATTAAACATATTTATTGTGTTAGTATATAATTTGTGAATTTGTTACTTATGTTCCTAAAGGTTACCATGGATTTTTAAGAAATAATCAATTGTAATAAACAAACAATATCCACGTATATAAAATTTATATTAAACAGCAAATAACTCTCTTTATGACCTCAAAATACCCTTTAACAGGTCTAATTGCATTAATAAGAATATACAAAAGAGAAGACTCCTTAAAAATCAGTATATTCAATTATGTGAATTTATCAATAAAAATAAAGCTATTACATATTGTTTATAAATACAATCTTATTTGACAAAATTTAAATATAGTATTTTTTTTTTAAAACAGGTTTCAAAAATATATATATACAAATTGCATACAGAAAATGTACTTTTGTTTGTCATTAAATCTCACAAAGAGAATCCAGTTTGTACATGTGAAACTATTCAAAATGATCAGTACCTTTCACAATAGTGTGTTAAAAAAATAATTGTAATTTAACTCAGTTGCAATATTAAGACATGATGTATTGTAAACTGAACCACCCAGCTCTCCTTAACTGATGGGTCTGACTGTGGGCAGCAAGCCAGATATCGATATACCTCTGTATTTTTCAAGCTTTGTGATGCTTCCTGTTGACCCCAAACCCTGTATGCAGCATTCCTGGAGTGGTAAACCATTACAATAATTGTTCTACTTTAAGCGTTGCTTGGCCCTGCATCTGACATCCGTGTACATACAAGTGTTCAGTAACATTCTACACTGAAAGTCCAGTATTTTATAGAAGCACCACCTGAAACATTCTGAACACCGCTTCCTTGCATGGGTAACTGTGAATACCCTACCGGTACTTATCTTCCTGAAAAAATTAAATAAAACAAGCAACTATCTGAAACCCAACATATCTAAACCAAGATTAAAGAACGGAGACACAGTGGGGGGTTATTTACCAAAACTGCAGAGTGCAATATCTGGTGCAGCTCTCTATAGAAACCAATCGGCTTGCAGATTTTAATGCCAAAGCTTAATTTTACAAGCTGAAGTTAAAAGCTGATTGGCTATCATGCACAGCTGCACCAGATTCCGGAGTGCATCAGTTTTAGGCCCTATGCATACTAGCATTTTTTTTAAGCTCCTAGAAGCTGTTATTTGCATTTTTCTTTCTGCTCCTAGAAGCTAAATAGTGGTATCCTATGTGTCCATGCACACTACTTTAGGCTATGAGCATTTTTTGAGCTTCAGGATCTAGAAGCAGAAACAAAATTGCTTGTGTAGCGTTTTTCCAGCAGAAAAAAATGCTAAATGCTCATAAACGCTGCTAAATGCTACTAAAACACAGCTTTTTTTTCTCCCTTCACCATGTACTGTAAGAACACTAATAAAACGCTAACACTCTGAAACGCTACTAAGAACCGCTATTATCAGCGGTGTTTATGCAGCATTTTTTCCAGCGTTTTTTGAGCTTACAAAAACCGCTAGTACGCATGGAGCCCTAGTAATTCTCCCCCACAGTTCGTACCTGCCGGTATGGCTGAATCCTATGGAAAAAATGCATGTGTCCAACACAAAGCCTTTAAAGAATTAGGGCTCCGACACATGAGCAGTTGAAACAAATTCTGGTGTATTTCTCCCAGGAAGCTCAGGTGCCGTGTATAGCTGCCTATAGACATGAATAGCTGTGCTCCCCTATACTCAGGTATGCGCCAGTACTTACATAAACACATGTAAAGGGTATAGGCACATTCAAAGAATAGAAAAAACAAACAAAAAAAGTTATAGACAGTTCACCGAAGTGCAAAAATAATCTCTCATTGTAGATGAAGTCCAATAGGCTGAATCTCCTTAAAACTATATTGCTGAGATTTATGTACCTCTCAGCTTCCGTTACTGGAGGCTCTCCTCTTTTTAAAAGAGGAGGAGTCATGCATGTTCCAATCTTCCTTACTGGAATTTGTCAAGTTAATAAAGGCAATCTCCTCATTTACATCCCTCAACTTTTACAGAGCATGCATGTTAATGCATCTGTATCAGATTACTCTGGTACATATGTATAAGACTTTCAATTGCAGAATTAAAAAAAAAAGAAATTGCAAAACGTAAGGATAGAAAATAAATGTCAAACTGCTATGTTAAGTCGAGGAGGGTTTGGCATATATAACCCTTTGGTGGCATCCAGTTGGTTGTACTCTTCTATTAATGAGGATAATGATGTTAGAGCCTCTGAAAAACAGCTCTGCTCCATGCCGTCAACTTGTAGGTAATGGTGAAGATGAGCCTGCAAAAATGAAAAGTTTATCAGAAATTAACCCTGTAAAAAACGTGTTTATATACGCCTAGCATACACTGCAGAAAAAAAAAAAAAAACTTTAAAAAACAAACACACACTATATGGATTGTTAAATGTACCTTCTTTCTGTACAGCCTAATAAACCTCTCTCTGAGGTCTATAAATGCTGGTTTCACACATGTGTTATTGGCTAGTGCCAACAATGAATGGGAATGGCCAACTGGTGGGACAGAACACATCCCAGTTTTCCACCCTTCTTGGTTCCAAGAGACGAACTGTAGTGAGGGTTTCAGCCTGAATTAAAAAAAAAAAAAAAAAAAAATATCTATATATCTATATACATACATACATAAACACACACACAACTTTCATGCATTTTTTGTTTTTTTTTAATAGATGGGCATCTAAAGTCGTCAATCACAACAGACTTTTCCATCTGGACCAAAAATCATTGAAATCTACTAAAAGACTGCCAAAAATGTTATACTAGGTTTAAACAACTATTTTAAAGCGTAGTAGACACCTGTGTGCTTTCATGTGCATTTTGCAGCACAAAAAAATGAATGTGTCATGAAAATACATTGATTCCAATGAGGCTATTCACATCTGCATGCTCTGTTGTAACAAATGAAGCATGTCTGATATGATATGCATTTACCTGCAGTTTCTATCCTGTTGAGAGTCTATGGAAGTGCATGAAAACTCATAAAAATGCATGAAAAAATACATGCAAAATGCACTAAAAGAAAAATACATGACAGTAGGAGCAGAGACATGTGAATGGGGCCTAGAGAAAATGAAAAAAATGTGTTAAATGTGAAGGAATTCAACATGTTTGGGCTTTATACAAATAACTGAACTCTAGGGTAATGTTAATTTAAAAGGGAACACAAAACAGGGCATCTGAATCCATTGCATTGGCAATTCGAACTGAGCATATAATGAAAAAAATGATAAGTAGAGTCTACCTTCAGGAAAACCTGCAACAATGAATGGATCCACAGATATGGGGAGTTGTGTTTATATGTAAATCTCTACTCTTCCAGTATAAGTTGACCTTGCTCCTTACTGGACATACAAATGGGCCAACAAGCAGTCCTTTTGCAGCTTTTCCAGTCACATGCAGATCCTACAAAATCCAGAGCCCCTCTTAGTGATCTCTGCTTTCTGGATATCTACTACATCCTTCTGACTATGAGCCAGCAGGGGTCAAATGATCTATCAGCAGGCCTGGACATTGCTGCTTGGGTATACTAGGTGTACACAATAGCTCTAAAAACATTGCTATTTGCATAGCCACTTCATAGTGGCGGTGGAGTCACTGGAACTGCCAACAGTTGTAAAAAAAGGTGCAAGCGGTCAGCTTATGCTGTTACTTACAAGCTGAAGCTCTTGGTAACTATTCCCACAGACTTATTCCAGATATTTGGGTTTGGGTTGCCAACCACTCATTTTCACAGAGGAGAGGGTTTGTTAGAAAACAAAAACAAAAAAAAAAAAAAAACCCATTTGCTGCCATCCAATTATGTCCTTTTCACCTGGTCAAGAAAAAGGAGCCTGCACAGCTGAAATAATGTCAGGAGGCTCAATCTCATAGATCTTTGTCTCTACCCCTCCAACCAAACTGCTTGCTCTGCCAGCACCGCTAAAAGGATTTTAGGAGGCTTCTTATATCCATTCTCAGCCCATTTCTCTGCCCAGGAAAAACATTTGCAGGCAGTAAATTCTAGCAAGCATGTATGTGTCCCTTGTGCTTTGCAAAATTGTGCAAGTATGTTGTGCTACATTCTATATTGTGTGTTCTTTGTCATGGACTCTGGCAATGTAAGTAATCCCCATTTTATTCTTAATAAATATGTGTAACAGGGACTTAAGATAATGAGATAAGCAGTGATTTCTGGCATTGAAAGTTGCACAGGACTTCATGATAACCATCCTGTGTGATGCATTGTTTATGACGTCTACACTCATAGTTTGTTTCAATTTACAGTTCATACCACTCTTTGAAATAGTATTTTGAGGAATGTGACAGCTGAGCCAGGGTGTGCTTTGGTTATAAGAACAATACTGGCATCAGTCAAACAGCAAACAGATCAAACTTAAGATCCGGGAGTGATTTCCCAGAGTAGTCATACTGCATTTTTACACGGCCCTTAGAAAAATACTTGTGCTTTGTTCACTTAGTGCAAACTAACGGGTTTGATGTAATCCTCATCCAGCATACATGTGCATTTTTTTCACTCGTGCCGCTGCCAGCCTTCCAGTCCATAACCTGTGTAAAGTACAACTCCAGTGCCATGTAGCTCACACAGGATTGTACTTTCACTCCCAGTGACTAAACGGATGGTTGGGTAGTGAAAAGAAGGCAAGAATGTCTTTTTGCTGTAATGAAACGTGCTGATCATGGTGTAATACTTTGCAGGCTCCTGTTACAAAAAAAAAAAAAAAAAATGCACATTTTTAAACATGCAAAAAGTGTGCATTTATTATTTTATAGTAGAGGGTGAATGTAGCCTTTAAATCGGAACTTCACTCCTCGGATTGATTTCATATTCATACCTCTGTGGCCTTTTGGTTTGATGTAGCCGTCTTATTTGTATATGTGGCTTCAACTTTACTCCTAAAATTTCGTCTGCCCCTTTAGAATGCAAAAACAAGTCAGGGCTGAACGAATGAAAAAAAAAATTCTACAGCTGTCAGCTTTTTTTTTAGCTTTAAAAATTGTGAAAGCTGGATGTATATGTTGCTTGGATTCTCCAAAATGCTTGTTGACTCCTACATAAGTCTGACGCACAACACAATGCAAATTCTAGCACAAAATGTCTATGTGATTAGGGTCCTTGTGGGGTTTACACCAGAGAACTTTTTATTTTCGGAGGTGTTAGTTTACACCAACCTTTCAATATTCCTGCGAACATCAGAAATATGAACGTTTCCTCTCACCATCAAAGCACAGGCAAGGTAAAGATTATGCTTCGGGTCAGCTCGAATTAACTGATGATCTTTGTTAAAGGCATCAGAGAACATTTGGTCCAACCTGTGCAAAAACATGTAATAACAGTAAATGCAGTGTTTTGCTATATTCTCAAAATGGCAGCAAAATACTGTAATGTATAAACATTCATTTAACTTGTTCTGTTATATGTGCCCTCTGGAAATGTTCCCAATGTTTAGAGCAATTGTTCAGTGCAGTCTTTTCCTGTTTTATGCATAAGGACTCTTATGGCATATCAATTTGCCAGTAGGGGGCCTGGTTAAAAGAAACTTGTCATGAGAAAATCACAGAGGCTGTTGTTGCTGACCACTTTCTTTTTGAAAAAACAAGTTGCCCAGTTGTTGTGCTGATGAAACATATAGAGATAAGAAATTCTGACATTTTTCCTAAATTCCTTTTTAGTAAGTTTGTTCCTGGTCAGTGACTCAAATTTTTGATGCCAGACAGTCATTCAATTGTCTGTAATGTTTTTACAACAGCAACCACTATAGGCCTCTAATGACAGGGTCACTTTAAAAAGCTTAAATCTCACTAAGGAAGATCGTAAGCTGGCCAAACATGATCCACTTTCTTTCATTCAACCAGACGGTTTAACAAAAGAAAATGAATCAATTCTTCCATCCATACACATGAAATTGCATTCTTACAGCCGGGAGGCTTCCAGGCTGCCAGAATATACTCATCAGCACCACCTGCTGAAGCATGCGGCACTGATCAAGCAAACATTTTCCAATAGGCTGGTTGTACAGAAGTTAGTCGAGAGATCGACTTCTGTACAAACAGCTTGCACATGGATTAAAATTTGGACAGTCCCTGCTGAAATGGATGAATTTCAATCCATCTATGGCCAGCTGAAGCATATACTGTTCAGTAAGAAGGGTAGTACCTAATTTTCAATTTACCTTCGTAACAATGCTTGGAAAGGAAGCACACTAAACAAAATATCACACTCATATAATTTTGATTGTGTGTGACAAACAGGCCAGACTCCTAAAGGAAACTCAATAAACAACCAAAGTGACCAAAATATGAAAAGCCCAAAAAATGCACACACAGTAAACTCAATAAATTCAGACTCCCTACTATGTAAACCTGTTCTATAAAAAACAAAACTTTCTTTTCATGAAAAATTTTCAGGCAAATCTTAGCGTTTTTTTTCCCCATAGTCTTAAATAGAAAACACCTGAACAGTAGAAATAAGTGTTTTTTCAAGCATTTCTTCAGGCGGTTTCAGCTCAAACAGCAACTATTTCTATTAGCCACAGCAAAAACACCTATAAAAAACGCCTAAAATTTTGCATATCTGCTAAAAAAAAAAAAAAACGCTCAAAAACGCTGTAAAATAACACTTGAAGAAAATGCCTGAAAAAAGCTCAGCTCAGTGTGAATGTATTTTGTATTATAAGTGCACATTGTATTCTGTAAATTGTCCTGTTTAAAAGGACACTAAAATTATGATTCCGGTACAAAGCATTGAAAAGTTATTTTTAAAAAAAAAAAGCGCAAAATTTTAAATAAATGTATTTAATTTCTAAAGTGAAACATGTAAATATATATGTTAAAAGGTGTAAAAATATTAACGAACAAAGCAAACAAAAAAAGTTTTAATTACTAAAAGTTTATAAAATGGAAATGAACAAAAAAAAAAAAAATCAGAAGGAAAATAGTTAAATGGAGAAGGAGAATAAGGAGTTAATTATGGCTGATTAGAGTATATTAAGGGTTAATAAGGGTTAAACAGAGGACCATTTAAAGTAAAAGAAACACACACACACACACATAAATGCAACAGGAAAAAACTTTGCAACGTTTTATTTTACCTTTAAAAGTCTAATTTCCAGATCGAGCTGTCACAGCTGCCATCTAGGGATTGCAAGAGAGCTGTGACGTGACAGAGGGAGCTACACTGCATCCAGAAAGTATTGACAGCGCGCTTAACTTTTGCCACATTTTGTTTCAGCCTTATTCAAAATGGATTAACGTAAATTACAAACTACAAACAATACCCCATGATAGCGTGAAAGAAGTTCATTTTGAAATCTTTGCAATTTATTATGTATTTAAAAATACATAAGTAGTTGCAGTCTTTGCTCAATACTTTGTTGAATCACCTTTGCACCAATTACAGCCTCAAGCCATTTTGAGTATGATGCTACAAGCTTGGCACACCTATTTTTGGGCAATTTCTCCCATTCTTCTTTTCAGTACCTCTCAAGTTCCATCAGGTTGGATGGGGAGCATCGGGTGCACAGCCATTTTCAGATTTCTCCAGAGATGTTCAATCGGGTTGAAGTCTGGGCTCTAGATGGACCACTCCAGGACATTCATAGAGTTGGGCTGTGTGTTTGGGGTCATTGTCCTGGTGAAAGATGAATCGTCGCCCCCATCTAAGGTCCAGAGCGCTCTGGAACAGGTTTTCATCAAGGATGTCTCTGTATATTGCTGCATTCATCTTTCCTTCAATCCTGACTAGTCTCCCAGTTCCTGCTGCTGAAAAACATCCCCATAGCATGATGCTGCCACCACCATGCTTCACTGTAGGGATGGTATTGGCCAGGTGGTGAGCGGTGCCTGGTTTCCTCTAGACATGACACTTGGAATTCAGGCCAAAGAGTTCAATCTTTGTTTCATCAGACCAGAGCGTTTTGTTTCTCATGGTCTGAGAGTCCCTCAGGTGCCTTTTGGCAAATTCCAGACGGGCTGCCATTTGCCTTTTACTGAGGAGTGGCTTCCGTCTGGCCACTCTACCATACAGGCCTGATTGGTGGAGTGCTGCAGAGATGGTTGTTCTTCTGGAAGGTTCTCTCTCCACAGAGAAATGCTGGCGCTCTTTCAAAGTGACCATTGGGCTTAGTTACTTCCTTGGCTAAGGCCCTTCTCCTTCGATCGCTCATTTTGGCCGGATGGCCCGCTCTAGGAAGATTCCTGGTGGTTCCAACTTCTTCCATTTATGGATGATGGAGGCAACTGTGCTCCTTGGGACCTTCAATGCTGCAGACATTTTTCTGTACCCTTCCCCAGATCTGTGCCTTGCTACAATCCTGTCTCGGAGTTCTACAGACAGACAATTCCTTGGACTGCATAGCTTGGTTTGTGCTCTGACATGCACTGTTAACTGTGGGACCTTATATAGACAGGTTTATGCCTTTCCTAATCATGCCCAATCAACTGAATGTCCCACAGGTGGACTCCAAGCAACTTGTGGAAACAGCTCAAGGATGATCAGTGGGAACAGGATGCACCAGAGCTCAATTTTGAGTGTCATGGCAAAGGCTGTGAACACTTATGTACATGTGTTTTTTTTTTTTTTTTTAATAAATTTCAAAGATTTCAAAATTAACTTCTTTCACGTTGTCATTATGGGGTATTGTTTGTAGAATGTTGAGGAAAAAAATTAATTTAATCAATTTTGGAATAAGGCTGTAACATAAAATTGGCAAAAGTTAAGCGCTGTGAATACTTTCTGGATGCACTATATAAAGATCTTAGAACAACTGCTATACACGGTTATACAGCACAACAAGAGGAATGGCACAGGTCAATGTACAGCCTTAGCCTCAGAGCCCTCACCTTCGTGTAGGTATATTCACATCAGCAAGTGTATAAAGAGGAGTTACGCTGGAGGTCAAATAATGCAAATGAGGGAATGGGACCAAGTTCATGGTGATCTCATTCAAATCCATATTAAGCTGCCCTTCAAATCTTGCAGAGCTGGGAGGAAAACAAACACATTAAATGTAATCTTCCGTCTCCTGCACAGCTTCTTATTCAGCTACTTTTTAGAATTTGTCATGCAAATATAAAAGCAAATATAAATGTGTTTCAGTAACAAAAGAACAAATGGCAAACTTTCAAGAGCTTATGGCTCCTTTATCTGGCAGGATAACAGTGCTAAAGTACAACTCAACTAAAACATTTTTGTTTGAATAGAATTGGGAATGGCTAGGCTCTCCTGCAGCTTTTCATTGTGGTATCTATCTACCCTCTGGGGAAATTTACTCATTTTTTGCTCCAGAGATGACAGAAGAAGATTTACTAAAACAAAAAGAAATTGTATTTATTGTTTCCCCATAGTGACCAGAATAAACCATTCCGTTTATATTTTTTCCCCATAGTGACCAGTTAGGTTTTTTTAATTTTACCTTTATGTAAACATCTGTTTGGTGCTAATAGCAGAAACCTCGTTTTTTCTTCTTCAGTTGAATCAGTCCAAAGTAAGAGGAAATCCTACCCGTCATTGGGATAATCTCATTGTAACTGTCCTATGTGCGCAGAGACTTGTTTGTTAGGAACGCATATTGGGTTTCAAAAGCCACAGCTAGTAAACAGTGTGTAGAAGTGTTTTTCTTAAAAGAAAAATGTGTTACATGAAAAATACTGGGGTTGCCATTACTAACTTCATGCTAAAAGTAGACCTTTGTTAGTCACTTGTGGCTACACAATACTTTAAGTCATTGACCGAGCGCAAGCATGCAGCAAGTAAAGACAGAGTGAGGTCAGAACATCTAATTTGCATATTTTATCTGAGTTAAACTGGCCATGCAGATTTTGTCTGGTTCAGCAGAGACCACTTGAATTTTGATCCATGTACAGTAGGGTCAGGTTGGATTGACTTGTGGACAACTAGCCCGTTTGAAAAATTTCTAATGACCAACTCCACCAGTGCTGATCAATATATTCTGACTGGTGAGAAAGTCTCCCCATTGTCAGAATACATTAGCGCAGCAGGAGGGATTCCCCTATTCACCTTGATTAAGTGGATGGGGAAAATCAAATCAATTTTCTTTTATTCAACCATGTATAGCCAGCCTCAGTCACTTAAGGCCGGTCCACACTATAGAAACGCAGTCCAGATGCATTTTGATGTGTTTCGGTTAATCTTTTTTCCCTTCTCAATTTAAATAGCGACATGTGTGTTCCAGTGCATTTTACCATGTTCCAGTACAGTTTTGTGCAGGAAAAATGCTGAAGTGCAGGAAGTACTTATGTGAACTATAACACTGACAACCATATAACCTACTTTCTGTGCATTTTGGATGCAGGGAAAAAAAGCACACTGAAAACGCATGTAGTGTAAACTGGCTCTTAGAAAGTACTGGAGAAAAAAAGGTCAGCATTTGAGCTATGGAACTGGAATCAGAAATACATTAGCAAATGCATTGTTGGAGTTTACAAATCATGACCACTTATGGCTCGTAGCTTAAATCAGGAGACAATAGAGCAGAGAGGGTATTCATAGCATACAGATTAACAAACAGGTGAGGTGTCCAAAAGCAAGATACTACCAATTATACGCATTTCTAAAACTACATTAGTTACTATGCAAAAGGTGTTTAAATATCTTTCCTATTGGAGTATGTCTAGTGAATAGTAATATTCTCCTAATTAAAAGGAAAAAAAAACAACTAATTGTCTCCATGGTGTAACTTATTTTTGACATTCCAAAGTTTATCATGACCTTGAGTTGCCTCAAAGATATGGCCTTTCATGAAACCATCTATACAATTTATAAGCTCACAAAATCACAATCTTTAAAAGAAAGATATTTGAAGAGAGAAACATGGGGACTGCCATTGCTAAGCCCTTCAGAAATGCATGTTGCTTGTCATTCATGTTGACTCTTGCGTCAATACTTTGAATCACTGACCCTGAACAGCGGCACAGGTAAGGACTCCTGAGTTGCTTGATCTGCATACTTAATCTGGGTCAGTGACTTGGCAAACTGTTAAAACACAGGCAAAGGCTCACTTTATGCAATCTATTAGCTGTTCACAGTTCAAAGTACAAAATTAATTACAAATATTTCATACTCAATGTGGACAAATTAATTAGGAATTTTGCATAAATATTTTTCTTCCTATCCTGATTTTTCTTATGTGTATGTTGTATAGATAATTTTAAATGGAGAAGGGGATCCAGAGTATTGAAAATAAACCGTGTGGATGATTTTCAGTCGTCATTTAAAGATTGCAGTTTACAGTCCTTAGACGTGGTGGCTTCATTTGTTTTGTTTTTTTGGGTTTTTTTTTAGGATTTTACTCCTGTATTTTCACTTATGTATTGTGCCAATGGAGAGATAGCACTGTCACCCTAGAATAAAACTACAGAACACCTTTCCCTCTCCTCATCTTCCTAGCTGAGGGGGGGTGGCATTCAGTAGTCCGCAGAGCTGAATTGGACAGGGATGATAACATGATTTAACCACTTACCTACCGGGCACTTTTACCCCCTTCATGCCCAGGCCAATTTTCAGCTTTTAGTGCTGTCGCACTTTGAAGGGCAATTGCGCGGTCATGCAACACTGTACCCATATGAAAATTTTATAATTTTTTTCACACAAATAGAGCTTTCTTTTGGTGGTATTTAATCGCCACTGTGTGTTTTTTTATTTTTTGCACTATAAACAAAAAAAAGAGCAAAAAAAAAATTGAAAAAAAAAAAAAATTATTTTTTTTTGTTTCTATTATAAAATTTAGCAAACAGGTAATTTTTCTCCTTCATTGATGTGCGTTGATGAGACTGAACTGATACGCAGCACTGATGAGGTGGCACAGATAAACAGCACTGATGGGCTGTACTGATGGGCATTGGTGAGGAGGCACGGAGGATGCTGCACCGATATGCAGCAATGATGGGCACTGATAGGCACTGCTGGGTGCAACTGCTCGGCACTGATGATCAGTGCTGATCTGCTCTGTGACAGTTGCCAGTTATCGGCAGTACTTTCCTTGTGACAGCGTGAGGAAAGTGCAGCTGATAACCGGCAACTGTATTTACATTGTGATCTGCTGTGTCAATCAGCTGTGTCTTCATGAGCTCCTGAACAGTCTGAGGTGCAACCTGGCGGGGATGGATGGACCGAAACATGATATCCCAAAGGTGTTCTATTGAATGAAGGTCAGGCGAGCGTGGGGGCCATTCAGTGGTATCAATTTCATAATCCTCCAGGAACTGCCTACTTACTCTCGCCACATGAGGCCGAGCATTTTTGTGCACCAGGAGGAGCCCAGGACCCAATTCACCAGTGTAGGGTCTGGCAATGGGTCCAAGGATTTCATCCTGATACCTAATGGCAGTCAGGGTGCCATTGTCTAGCCTGTAGAGGTCTGTGCGTTCCTCCATGGATATGCCTCCCCAGACCAGGCCTCCACAGCTTCTCCACACCTTTTCATGTCTGTCACATGTGCTCAGGGTGAACCTGCTTTCAACTGTGAAAAGCACAGGGCGCCAGTGGCAGATCTGCCAATTCTGGTGTTCAATGGCAAATGCCATTCGAGCTTTATGGTGCCAGGCAGTGAGCACAGGGCCCACTAGAGAACGTTGGTCCCTTAGGCCACCCTCATGACCCTATCCAGCTCTCAGAGTAATTGCCTGTCTCCTGGAATCTTCTCCATGCTCTTGAGACTGTGCTGGGAGACACAGCAAACCTTCTGGCAATGGCACATATTGATGTGTGCCATCCTGGAGGAGTTGGACTGCCTGTGCAACCTCTGTAGGATCCAGGTATCGCCTCGTGCTACCAGTAATGACACTTGACACTAAAAAATATTCCTTCAATTTTTTTTGAGCAGTGTATAAAAGACCAAAGGGAATAGAGAAGTTTTTTGTTAAATACTGCATACAACACACGAGAAGTACTTGGATCTTTGCTTACACCCAGTAACAGAAAACCATTTAAATCAAAATTAAGGTGCTTACCTTGTGAGATTTAAAAGCAGGTTTGCTACAATGTTGTTCATGGCATCAAATGGTTTCTCACTTTCTTTTACACCACCTTTATTGGAAATTAGAAGACTATTTTGCTTTACACTTCCAAGTTTTCCAGAGTTTGTCATCTGGACAATTTTGTTCACAATGTCAGCTAATGACTTAACAGAAACAAATAACATATTAATACAAAGACATAATACAAACTAAAGGAACAGAGAATAGTATATAGTATACTCCATGCTTTGTTGGTCTCCATAACATTCTGTTAATGAGAGGAAATGTGCTCCTAACCTGTTTGGCTGACAACATAGTGCCTTTTCTGCAATAAAATCCCACAAAGTGTTGGCAGCCCTGCTCAGTTCTCCCCTGCTGGACTACAAAACCACCCTTCTCATTTCCATAACATATGACAGAGGAGTCCTGTAATCCACAAAAAAAGATCTGGCAGGGCTGATAACACTTGATTGGAATTTCAGTGTGCCTCAGAAAGCTAGTACCTCACTAGATTTATGGCAGATTAATAGGTACTTTTCTTGAACTGTTAAAGAAACAAAAAACACGGAAAATGTGCAAGGATTGAAGAGATGCACTGCTTATGCAGTACTGTGCTAAAGTTTTAGACAGTTTTGAAAAAATGCTGTAAATTAAGAATGCTTTCAGAAATAGATGTGTTAATGGTTTATTTTTATCAATTAACAAAATGGAAAAGTAAATGCACAGAAGAGGAATCCAAATCAATATTTGGCGTGACCACCCTTTGCTCTTTGTTCTTCTTTACACTGAAGATAGCTCTTAATTACATTGGCTGTATGTTTGGGGTCATTGTCCTGATGCAGAATAAAACTGGGGCCAATCACACACCTCCCTGATGGTATTGCATGATGGAAAAGTATCTGCCAGTCAGAACTGAGGACACCATTGATCCTGACCAAAAGCCCCACACTTGCAAGGAACCTCCAACATGCTTCACTGTTGCCTGCTGACACTCATTATTGTACCACTCTCCAATGAACAAACTGCCTTCTGCTACAGTTAAATAGTATGACCCATCAGGCGAGAGCACCTGCTGCCATATGTTTGCACTCATCCTACGTTCTGGTGCATAGTTGAGTCACATAGCCTTGTTTCTACATCAGAGGTAAGGCTTTTTGGGTGCAACTGACACTGATGGCCAAACTTCCACAGACAGTAGACAAGTTCACCTGGGTCCCACTAGTTTCACCCAGTTCTGTGCTGATGGCACTGTTGGACATATTCCAATGTTGGGAAGGGAAGTAAGTATGATGTTTCCTGGGCCGACCACTGCGTCTACAATCCTCAGTGTTGCCTGTTTCTTTGTACTCCTTCAAACAGCTTTTTGAGTTGAATGGATGCTGGTTTTTCAATTGGAGTTACAAAAAATAAGTAGAATAAAATATATATATTTTTTTTTTTAAAGCATTCTTATTTTACAGCACTTTTGTACACCTGCCTATAACTTTTGCACAGTATTGTATATATTATTATTATACAGGATGTATATAGCGGCAACAGTTTGCGCAGCACTTTACAAAATGAAGGCAGACATTACAGTTACAATACAATTTGGTACAAAAGGAATAAGAGGGACCTGCTCGTCAGAGCTTACAATCTAAGAAGATGGTTCAAGTGACACAAAAAGGTAATAGCTGTGGGAAAGGAGTGGAGAAAGTAAAAACACAATGCATTAGATGTAGGATAGGCTTCTTTAAAGAGAAGGGTTTCCAGGAATCGTCTAAAGGTAGATAGATTAGGAGATAGACAGATTGGGGTAGGGAGTTCCAAAGGATGTGAGAAGCTTGGGAGAAGTCAGGAGCAGGAGGTCTTGGGAGGACCGAAGAGAGCGGTTTAATTGGTACTTTGAGACCAGGTCAGTGATGTAGCTGGGGGCCAAGTTGTGGGTGGTTTTGTAGGCTGTTGAATTTTATTTGTTGGGTGAGTGGAAGCCAGTGGAGGGATTGGCAGAGGGGGGGGTTGGCAGACACTGAGTGGTTGGCAAGGTGGATGAGTCTGGCAGCAGCTGAGGCACCCCACTTGTCTCCACCACCACCTTATCTCAGTAATCGGCAGCAGAGAGGACAGAACTCCTCTGCCAGATCCTGCACTCCTCCATGCAGATGCGGAGAGGCCTGTCTCTGCCCCCCCCCACCTTGTGTAAGCAGTCAGCAGCAGAGAGGAAGACAGAACTCCTCCTACAGATCCTGTGCCTCTCTGTGCAGCTGCAGCACCCTTTTGTCTCTGCCTACCTTGGTTTCAGCATACAGCACACTCTGGCAGCCCTCTTCTGGTCCTCTTCCAAACCTTGCACATTCTGCTTCCCAGCTCTGCCCCCAGCTTCTTCACAGCAGCAGCACAAGGTAAGGGAGGTGAACTGCAATGTGAGGGAGAGTGGGTGACTCCGACTTCTGATAATGGGAAGGCTCTTGACATCTGATGTAAGGAGGGGGGTACTTTGGACATCTGCCTATAATTAATGAGAATAATACAATTCTATCCACATGAAACTTTACTGGAGACTGCTCAGACAGAATACCATGGCAGAACCAAGTTCTGTCTGAGCAATCTCCCATAAAGTTTCTTGTGGATGATACCAGCGATGTGTGACCCTCCTTTTCAGACTTACATCATCTACTACAGACGTATTACATTTGCTTGACCAAACTGTCAAACCATCAAATGGCTGGTGTCATAACTGATCATATATGCAGCATGATGGCAGTTGAAGACCAAACAAGGATTAGATGGCAGCTTCCTTAGCTGCAAACTATAGGAGGGTTTAGTTCCGCTTTAATATGATAAAGAGTAGATAGATTTGTAGTCTTACAGATACAACTGGCCAGTGTTTCACTATATATACACACAGTATATGTTTATTTAAAAAACACACACAACATGCAGTGACGGCTGAAAGAAACATGACTGTAATGTAAAGGTTCTTACTTGGTTTTCAATGGGAAGCACACAGTCTGCATGTTCAGTAAGCTCCTTCATGGCTAAAACACTGTTGTAGGGTGATGTGATTACATCATCTTCAGCTGATGGGTAGACAGAGGTGACAAACCTGTACACTTCAGGGAATTCATCCTCAAGCACATTCAATACATATGTACCTAAACCAGATCCTGTACCTGAGGGTGACAAAAGAACTGAATTAGCAATATGCGCATTCTTTGGTAGTCTACTGTTATAGCTTTAAAAGAGTAACACTCTTATAATACCATATATATATTTTCTCTTTCTTAAATTGCTGCTACTTTAAAGCCCATTTCACGCGGGCGATCTGATTAGGTCTGCCTGTCAATTTTTCAGGTGGACCTGATGGGTAGGTCTACATATTCCTATGGACAGCCAGGAGTAAACAGACTTGTGTTAGTTTACATCCTCCTACCTCTGGACCGATGCAGCCCACACAAAAAAAATCTGTCCATGTCCGCTCTGCATAAACTGAGTGGACATGGATGTGTCATCTGCCTGCTCTGCTCCGATCAGAAGGAGATACAGTGGAGCAAAAAAGTATTTAGTCAGCCACCAATTGTGCAAGTTCTCCCACTTAAAAAGGTGAGAAAGGCCTGTAATTGGCATCATAGGTAGACCTCAACTATGAGAGACAAAATGAGAAAAAAAAAATCCAGACAATCACATTGGCTGATTTGGAAAGAATTTATTTGCAAATTATGGTGGAAAATAAGTATTTGGTCACCTACAAACAAGCAAGATTTCTGGCTCTCACAGACCTGTACCTTCTTCTTTAAGAGGCTCCTCTGTCCTGCACTCATTACCTGTATCAATGGCACCTGTTTGAACTTGTTATCAGTATAAAAGACACCTGTCCACAACCTCAAACAGTCACACTCCAAACTCCACTATGGTGAAGACAAAAGAGCTGTCGAAGGACACCAGAAACAAAATTGTAGACCTGCACCAGGCTGGGAAGACTGAATCTGCAATAGGCAAGCAGCTTGGTGTGAACAAATCAACTGTGGTAGCAATAATTAGAAAATGGAAGACATACAAGACCACTGATAATCTCCCTCGATCTGGGGCTCCACGCAAGATCTCACCCCGTGGGGTCAAAAATCCCAGGACCACATGGGGGGGACCTAGTGAATGACCTGCAGAGAGCTGGGACCAACGTAACAAAGACTACCATCAGTAACACACTACGTCGCCAGGGACTCAGATCCTGCAGTGCCAGACGTGTCCCCCTGCTTAAGCCAGTACATGTCCGGGTCCGTCTGAAGTTTGCTAGAGAGCATTTGGATGATCCAGAAGAGGATTGGGAGAATGTCATATGGTCAGATGAAACCAAAATAGAACTGTTTGGTAGAAACACAACTCGTCGTGTTTGGAGGAGAGAGAATGCTGAGTTGCATCCAAAGAACACCATACCTACTGTGAAGCATGGGGGTGGCAACATCATGCTTTGGGGCTGTTTCTCCGCAAAGGGACCAGGACGACTGATCCATGTACAGGAGAGAATGAATGCGGCCATGTATCGTGAGATTTTGAGTGCAAACCTCCTTCCATCAGCAAGGGCATTGAAGATGAAACGTGGCTGGGTCTTCCAACATGACAATGATCCCAAACATACCGCCCGGGCAACAAAGGAGTGGCTTCGTAAGAAGCATTTCAAGGTCCTGGAGTGGCCTAGCCAGTCTCCAGATCTCAACCCCATAGAAAACCTTTGGAGGGAGTTGAAAGTCCGTGTTGCCCAGCGATAGCCCCAAAACATCACTGCTCTAGAGGAGATCTGCATGGAGGAATGGGCCAACATACCAGCAACAGTGTGTGCCAACCTTGTGAAGACTTACAGGAAACGTTTGACCTCTGTCATTGCCAACAAAGGATATATAACAAAGTATTGAGATGAACTTTTCATATTGACCAAATACTTATTTTCCACCATAATTTGCAAATAAATTCTTTCCAAATCAGCCAATGTGATTGTCTGGATTTTTTTTCTCATTTTGTCTCTCATAGTTGAGGTCTACCTATGATGCCAATTACAGGCCTCTCTCATCTTTTTAAGTGGGAGAACTTGCACAATTGGTGGCTGACTAATTACTTTTTTGCCCCACTGTATGTGAGTGGATCCCTTGCTGATCAGAGCAGAATCCACCCCATGTAAAAGGGTCCTAAAGCAGACATCCACAAACAGATATGGCATTTGAACAGCAATGGGCACGTTGGAATTTTTAATTCAAACTTCTATTTATGTAAAAATGACCAAGTTAATCCTTTTTATGCCTATGAGCTAGCTTGGCACATACTGAATAATGAATATGCTTTTCAAGCCTGCTGGTGCATGATCAGGTTTCATGTCCACTATTAATGTTCATCTTACCTCCTCCCATTGAATGAATCACAAAGAAACACTGCAGACAATCACACTGCTCTGCTGTCCTCCTCAAATTCTCTACGATCTGCTCCCGGTACTGAGAGCCATACAGCTTGTGACCAACTGCCCTACACATACAAATGAATAGGTACATATCTTCAGGAATCATTGTAATCATTATAAACATTTTAATTCAGAAATGGTAATGACTGTTTTCAACAAAATTTGCTGTAACTAAATATTTTTTAAACCCTGCTGCATAGTTCACACCACACATTATCTTTAAGTGGTTCTAAGGTCTAACAGGTTTTTCTTTACCCTAGTGCTCGTTCACACCAAAGTACAGAGATGCCAGTTTTTCTGCATGTGTTCTGCAAGGGCACAATGAAATCAATTGTTCTCTATGTGTCCTGTTCACACCTCAACACTAGTATCATTTTTTTCTGCGCAGGAATCAGCAACATGTATAAAACTCATTGAAGCGCACATGAAAACTGACGTAAACTGATGTCTCTGCAAGTGAAATCTGCATGGCAGTTTCAATTTGTTTTTTAATTTTTTTAAGTGCCCTGCTAACTGTTCCCCCCACCCTCATCCGTGAATACATTCTTGATTCCTGTCACCAGTCCAGCAAGCCAAAATGTCCTATCAAACTCCTGTGTAGAGAGGGGATTGATAGGGAATTTATACTCTACATGCCACAGCTGAAATGTGGAGATAGGTGGGAGGAGGATGTGGGTCCCTTTGAAGAAGAACAATGGCACCAAGCACTTGAACTTACTCCTAGGGTATCATGATATCCCTCTCAACAGTTGACACAACTATTTATTTTACACAGGGTTCATTATACCCCATAGTGCTTGCACACATGGTACACGCGTTGTATGGTACATAATAGGTGGCACTGATCCATATGTTGTGGCGATGTCCTAAAGTACATCGTTATTGGACCATAATTTTCAGTATACTAACCAGCATATGTTCTACACAGGTCCCTATAGACCCTAAGAGTACTATATTGGGTATTATCCAGGAGGAGGTGTTACCCTCGGATTATAATATGTTATGTATCAGAACCCTGTACCTTGCTCGCCAACTTATTTTGCAAAAGTGGTTACCGCCTAATCCTCCAGCACAAACACAATGGAAAGAAGCAGTGAGTTCCACAATAAAAAAAGGGAAGAATTTACATACAAGCATAGAGGCTGCCCTAAAAATTCCATAAAATCCGGGACCGCTGGCTATCCTCTAACGACCCCTCCCTTTCCTCCACTGACTCCAGAGAACTTATTAGAATGTACTATATAACATTTGTGATTTATGCTCTTTATGTGTCATTTCGGTGTCTAATGTTAACATACCTGCTCACACAAGCTGTGTTTCCAATGGAAATTGCAGACCGAAATTGTGTTACTCCTACAAGATGGTATTTGTGTTGTGAAAATGGAAGCCACTTGTTTACTCTCTTTCTATTGTTTTTCTTTTTACTACTACTCTCCGATACTGAGGTATCTGTCTCTTTTGTTTTTATTGTTACTCTATTTTTTTTTTTTCGTTATTATAGAAAAAGTTGTTCAATAAAAAAAAAAAAAAAATCCTGTGCAGAGAGGGCAGGGAGTGTGGCTTATTGGCGCTGTGTGTCTATGAACGCACAAAGTCCAACTTCAGAGTGCGCCCACAGCTTGCTATGCTGGCACCCGCTGACAGAAGGAACAGAGGCATGCCAAGAAGACGTAAAAGACCACTTTGTGCATTACGGTAAAATAGATTTATTTTAAATTAAAAAAAAGGTATTATTGTAATAACTAGATTTAAAAGACATAAAATATTACTTCTTGAAATTACTTTGATGTGTTAAAGGTTATATGAGATATATATGTAGCACATGCACCTGTGACAGTTGGCTCTAGAAACAAGAAGATAGTCAAATACTAAAGCTCTGCTGAAAAAGTTACCGTAAACAATGCTCAATTAAAAATGACAGCCAGCTGTGGCTCCCAGACCTCGGTTTATGTACCAATACTCTACAGATATGTAGTATTAGGGTCTTACCAATTATTTCCTGATCCTGACACATCAGTAATGAGCTGCTTGCTATCAAAAAGGTCTCAAAGAGGCCCTTGTAATATCTCGTTTACAACACCTTCTTCCATATCTATCAAGACAGCCTAATGAAAAACAAAAACACATTTAGCATGATTTTGATCACTGTACTTACAGGCACTAGGCAAATAAATATATTGGTCTTTCTCATGAGTGTTTGTGAGGGACTTTTAATGTTGTGATGCTTTCATTATGTACTTGATTCCAGGAATGTGGGGAAAAAAAAAATCTAAACATTAAAGTATTCCCTATGCAATAATAAGCCTAATACTAAGGCTTTGTAAAAAGCAATGAAAGTGCCGTAACCCACATTAGTAATATTCCACCAATCATTAGTGGATCTGCACACTTCTGGTACCGGTCCTGCTATTACTGTTCTCCAAAGTGTGAATGTGGTGGGGGTGCTAAGAATCATTTAGCTAAGGTTCTTTCTGCTTCCAACATAAAGCCAAATATTTACCAAGTACTCTGTTTTGATGCCCAATTGCAAAGAACTACAGGATCCCACATCTGTGTGAATGCATACTAAACTAATTTTCCCACAAGCTCTAATGGTAGCTTGCTCCTTCCACTTTCCATTCCACAATTTGCAGCCAATAAGAGAACATGGGAAGTGGGCAGGGACTGGTTACTACAAAACCATGTCATTGTTGCTTTTAACATAAGAGTGCCACCCAGAATTTAAGAGATCCTGTGATGACTGCAGTTTTAATCAGCAGTCAGTTCACTCCCTTTCACCACACCACAGGTCTGTTTTCAAACTTGATTCTATCTCAAGCACAAAATTAAAACAATAAAATATCCCACAACCTGTTAAAAAATTAATAAAAAAAAAAAACCCAAAAAAACGTTCGCTGTAATACTCCATCGCTGTCACCAACAGATCCACTGCTCTGTGATCCGGTGTTCTTATGTGTTGAATGATGCCCATCATCATTCATTTTACTTCCTGAGAGCCAAGGGTGTCAAGGACTCACCGCCTGGGGGCATGTCATCCAACAACACTAGGTGCACAGGAGAAAGCTGCAGAGAGCAGCACCATGTTGCTTCTTTAACCTGCCTGCCTCAATAAATAAGCCTACATCTGTGTAGCCTATTATGCATATTTTGTTACTCATCAGTAGTGTGAACAGCAAAGTTATTAGCAGATTAATCAGTTAAAAAGTACAAATTTACACTGGAAAGTAGCATAAAAAATATTTAGCTCACTGTTGGACTTTTTCTGATGTTGCATGACAGAGGAAGGTACTAGACTACGTATCTGGCGGTCCTAGCCCTTGGTCATGCCCCTCTGGACAAAGATCTTCACACATATATGAGCAAGTGAGCAGCCTTTCCATCTTGGGGACACCAGATATTGTCCTCCATCCCATGCTCCCAGGATTAATTTCAAATGCCATCAAGGGTCTCCTTTGCATTTTTCTTATAGCAGCTAGAATGGTAATACCCAGACACTGGAGAACTAACAACCCTCTTACTATCCAGGAATGGGTTCCTGAACGTATCCATTCACACTACAAGAAGGAGCGGACAGCTCAACTCCAAGACAAATTTGCCCCATTTCAAAACGTACAGAGAAGCAGAAAGTGCATCTAAGAGCATATTCCAGACTAAATTGGAATAGGAGTTAAAACACTGGAAGCTCACCTCTTTCAGTAGCAAAGATAACACAAGGAGTGTAACTTTTTTTTTTTTTCTTCAGATCAGTATCACGAGTGGAAATAGTTTGAGAAAGCTTCCTTCCTCTAGGACAGTGGTTCTCAACCTGGGGGTCGCGACCCCTTTGGGGGTCGAACGACCCTTTCACAGGGGTCCCCCCTAAGACCATCAGAAAACACATATTTCCGATGTGTAAAGAGCAGCTACTGTGTAGAAAGCAGCTGCTGTGTTGAAAGCAGCAGTATTGGAAATAAAACGACACTCATGAATTATAATTACTGGGTAAATAATTTTATGGTTGGGGGTCACCACAACATGAGGAACTGTAATAAAGGGTCACGGCATTAGGAAGGTTGAGAACCACTGCTCTAGGAGACAATTCGTATGTAGCCAAGATACACTCTGTGTATTATTTAGGCCATTAAAAGAGACAAGCTTCCCGCTTTTTACCTTTATTTCATCTGATACTGGAGGATATTATCAGAGGTGCTTTCTATTCCTCTCTTCTAGCTGGATTTCTCTCCTACCTGTGGTGGTTTGGATATTCAGAAACCTTGGAGGATCCTTGCAGCAATTGACAATTACCTTACCTGAAGGGCTATCTTGCTGGTCCCCTTCACAAGGGATTTTTTTTTTTTGTAGATGCCATTTCAAAAACACAAGTGTAACGGCGTAGACCCAGAGACTGACGCAGTCCTCCATTTTGTTAAGAACCTCCATCTTGGCAAAGGGGTTAACCATCCTGACAAACATATTTTCCCCCCTCCCTTTCTGAGAGTCCCAGTGACATTTGGCCAGTGTGTATGTGTGTCACAGAGGGGTCATAGGAGCTATAAAGCCCCCCAAGGGAGCCAGGGCTTCCCTGTCCAAAGAACCTGCAAATTGTAACACCTCGTAAGAGATAAGGCAAGCTTTCCCAGGAGTTGAAAGATTCCAACCTAATAAACCTAATTCAGCGTATGTGACAGAATCAGATAACCTTTGTTAAAATCCATTTTTCCCATATGTCTCATATCTTGGAATATGAGAGACTTGCATAAAAACCAGACATATCGTCAGATTGGCCACGAGAAGGCGAACAGTTTGGTAGGTCACTTGCCTTGTCTCAAATACACAGGAAAGCAGAAAAATAGATCTCGTAAACTGTTCAGTATAGAATTTTACATATTTCATCTCTAATCAATCCTCAGACGTGTCTGCATAATAATCTACCCGCGGGTGGAATGTCACTTGTGCAGATGGAAAGTTATGGGCCAAAATATGAGTTAAGGGAGATTTTGGCTCTAGTTGAGGTATCCGCTGTGGGAACTCGCTTCCAGTGGTAGAGCTTTTCCTTTCAAAAGCACACAGCAACTCACTTCTTTAAGGGCCTTTTTGCCCAATTTTATTTAAAAATAAAGTTCCATAACATGCTTCCCACGCAGGGGTATCCACCGTCAAGCAAAAACAACAAAAATTCAGCCTCCTGGCTTGTACGCAGTTTGATGTCTCCTGCAGACTGTTCCCAAATTATGGCTCTCGCACACAGCTGGCCACTAGCACACAGCTAGTCTCCTTGGTGGAGCCCTCCTGACTCCTGTCTTCCAGGTGGAGCCCTCCTGACTCCATCTGCCAAGGTGGAGCCCAGAACCCTGGTCCTGACTCTATGAAAAGGCCTGCACACACCTGTGCAATCAGTCTCCTGGCTATTCCCAAAACCTGGTCCCAGGATTGGAGATTTCATCCCTCCCAAATAGCTTTGAAATCTCCAGGCTCCAGGTCCCAAAATGGACCTTACAAACAAATGAGGAAAGTGAAAAGCCACTTTCCTCTGTATCAAACACTTACCCCGGAGCCCCTCAACCTGCCTTGTTGAGAATCCTGGGTGACAGATCGGCACACTGTCACACCGCCCACACCTACACGCCCTAAACGGGGTATTGGTCCTTGACTTCAAAGACACCCCCTGCTGGGGAACTACAAATTATGATGTCAGGCCTAAGAAAAGAAGAAGTTGAAGACGTCTCCCATTTTAACATCAGTACCACCTGGGGAGACCCGTGCCCTTTCGCTCTGAAACTTGGATCTGCTAACCCAGGACTTTGGCAAATACCTTAACCCTTTCACCTCTCTCTGATATCTCTTTGCTGTTAGTCTCTGCATATTATATATATACCTATCTTAGTTACCTCTTTTCTGTAAATATTTTTATTGCACCCGTTTGACCTTTTAGTAATAAATCTTTCCTTCTGAAAGTCTTGAACTGTTTCTATAGCGCTTTATTGCAATTTACGAATTCCTGCCTCTAAAGAGAATGCTACTGTGGTCGTTTAACCCTCTGTATAACCATGTTATGCAGACGATTACCTCAACCATTATAGTGTTATTGCTGAGATTGCCGATTTTCCTCTCTGTACAAAAAGGAGGTGGTGGCAGTGTGAAGGGTTAATTGCGTAATTAACCTGACCGAGTAACAATCGCTCAGGCTGCCGGTACATTGATTGTGGTCCAATTAGCTGGAAAATCCTTCTGCAGGGTGCAGCTGGGTGTGACATTGTTACCCACGTGACATCGCGGTTTTAGATCGGCTAGTCCTTCGGTCACGAGTTTGGTGAGAAGGTCTGGGGTCTGATGCCGTGATCGTGACAACAGGTGCTTATGACTTTTTAAAATTATATAGCTAGAGCTGAAGTGCATCTGAGATTTCAGAAAGTAGTTTAATTACAGTAGTTTAAAACATGCAACATATTTAACAAGGTATATCCCCACCAGGCAATGAATAAGAGTATGAGTAAAGTGCTAAATTAATTCATAGCATAATTGGGTTGTACATGACTTAGAAATATTTATAATAAAAGTCTCCATTACATTCTTTGATAACCATAGTCATACTTTGTGTGATCAGCAGGACAGAAGCTACATTATTGTGCAGTCATAACAGCACCGGTACTTTTAGAGATGTTCATTCAAGATGCAATCAGTATCATTTTTCTTACCCGTGCTTTAAGTGAGCAAATCTTCCCTCTCTGAACATCTGGTTTGACAGCTTCAGCTCTTGAAAACAAAGACAATTTTCTTTTTAAACAATATTTAAACAGCTCTCCTATTCACCACAAAATGACTGGGACACTGGTAAGCATTTTACCATGTCTAAATACTAAATCATTGTTTTACAATGCACTTATGACTAAAGAGTATTTTCACACATGACTTTTCCTCAAACTGTAAAAGTCCTTCAAGACAACAGGCTTGCATCCTCTCATCACAAACTTTTTAAAGCATACTGAACACCCCAAAAAATGTAAGACATTGCCAGCTCTTAGATGTAGTAGCTGTTTTCTTTCTTTGCTGGCTTTTTTAACCTGGTAATTCTGTGAACATACTTCTTGACCTTTCATGTATACACTCATTTCTTCACTGTATCTAGGTTGCAATATGGGGTAGATTTCTGCCCTTCATATCCATTACATAGTGGATCAATGGGATTAATAGTTTACACAATAGAAATACGATTCTTAACTTTCTGTTAAACTTACAGAAAGTGACAAGGACACTGCATTTCAAATATTTTCTGTAATTGATAAAAATGTTCTTAGCCTGAAAAGTGAAGTAAGCTACAATGTACCTAATTTTTGTTGGCTTCTCAGTTTCAATAATATTTTAATAAGTAAACACAAGAAAATAAAAATCATAAATATATATTTTTTTCCCCCAAATGTACAAAAGTATGCATCTGAATTTAACCCCTATATGCCAACATAACATAAATATGCGGCACCACTACACTGGGCTTTTTGCCATGGGGCCACATATTTCCATATCTCCCTTTTCCTGGGAGCTCGCCACACAACGCGCTCCCAGTATGGACACCAGGGTCTTACCGAGAGCTAACGATCGGGACCCAGAACTCCCAATTCAGGGTCACCTGATCACTGCGATAGCCTCTGATTGGCTATAAGAGAGATCAGTCACTGTGAAGCCTGCCTCCGTGTTTTTCTTGCTCTGAATGGAGGAGAGAGATACATTGTATCTTTCTCTCTTCTTGCAGAGAGAGAGAGAAAAAAAAAAACCTAGATCAAGGTTTAATTTATGTCAGTGTCTGAGTCAGGTAAGAGTCAAAAGTCAAGTTCAGTATACCTTGGGTAGGATTTTTTTTTTTTAAAGTGCCAGTGTGTTTTAGGTAGGACAAAAAAAAGAAAAATGCTCACTTATGTTTTTGGGCTGTACTATGGGTACAAACAACAATTAACAAAACACATGTGGTATCGCTGCGATCGTCATAAGCAGGAGAATTAATTTTGGGTTGTTTTTTGGTGGTAGGTGCTGGTATTAACAAGAAACATATTGCTAAATTAAATAAAATATATATGTTTTTACTATTTTGGGCCAGGTTTCCTTTGATAATAAAAAAAAAAAAAAAAAAATCAGGCGATATCCATAACCATTTACCACCAAATAAAAGCTCAGTTTGCTCTGAAAAAAAAACAAAACAAAAAAACAAGGTAAAATTCTCCTGGATGAACAAAGTAGTTGTGAGGATATGTACAGTTTTACTAACACATGTCAAAGTAAAAAAATTGTGCTTAGGCATAAAGATTTGTTTTAACCTTCAGCGTGAAGGGGTTAAGTAAAAAAGTTAGGCACAAAAGTAACAATATAAGACAAGTGCAATATAAAAACAGGTCACTATGCAGCAAGAACTTCCAAGTATTAGTCAATTCCATTAACCAATCTGACATAAAAGGTAAACAAACCCACAAAAATACTATGTGCATCAACAGACACACAAAGGACAGCTTGGCCCAGCCTCACCTCCCTCCATACTGGATTTGACTGACAGCAGCAGGAAGCCAATGGCTCCCACTGCTATTATTCTGTCCACTGAGAACAGGGAAAAAGACCATATGCTGCTGCAGATGCGGTTGCAATGCTTTTACAGACTCTTCAGAAATAAAAAAAAAAAAAAAAAAAAGAAATGCACGTTTTTATCTGCCAATAAATGTGCATTTATTATTATTTTTTTTTAAAAAGGTGAACTTATCCTTTAATACCCTTTACATACACACTGCTACAAATATATTAAGAGTCTTTTAACATAATGTAAATAAGCTTTTTACACATGTTAGAAGACATGAGAAAGCTATGGAAGCTGCCACTGCTGACCTCCTTCTGAAAATTCTATTTCCCTGGCTGCTATGTGGATTCTCTGGCTACAATAATTTGAGTCACTGACCTGGACCAAAAAAATATTATGCAGATCCACAAAGCTGAGGAAAAGTCAGAAGTCTATATCTGCATGCTTGTTCCCAGTCAGTGATTTAATGTACACAAGGAAAAAAAAAAAAGATCAGGATACAGTGACCGAACTAGTAGCCACTTCTGATGCTAGCCATTAGTGCTGTGGCAGTAGTATAGATGACAATGGTCCTGTCAGAATGAAGAACCAATCAGCATGGTTACTGATTAGTATGCTATGCTAGACAATCACAGCAAACACATGGCATTGCTTGCAAGCAAGCTTGGCAGGCCAGCAGTTGCATTATATATTTATATTTCAAACGTAAATTGCATTTTTCCACATGTATCAGATTATAAAATACAAATAAAAATCTCAGCGGGTATTGAGTTCATAAAAGTGTGCTACAATATGTCCTTCCACAACAGTGTAAACATTTTTAGGTATTCAATTTAGTCATTGAGGTATATTTATAAGGCAGTAAATATGACATACTTCACCAATAATGCACTGCAGATGAATCTTCCTGATGTATGTGTTTTTTATTATATCCCTACAGTAATTGATTTACCTGCAGTGAATATCACATTTACGGCTTTAAAATTATGCCCCACAAAGTTATTGCCAAGTTACCACTGCATACTGATACCACTAAATTTGTCCCAGTATCTAGGTTTCATTGACGCCAGAAAGGCAATATGACCAGCTAACATTGTCAGAAAGAGAGGTCAAAATGGCAGTCATTGTGTTTCTTTCATGACATATTTAATGGCCAGGGAGATATCAGTAAAGAGGTCTTGGTAAGAGCAGTCCTACAACCTGGTGCAAGCTATAGGACTACTAAAAGCCTATTCACACATGTGTGAATTGCAACACATGAGGTAACCCACACACAACGATGCAAATGGCCCTATATATTCCCTTAAACATATACTAAACTGTATTGCATAGATGTAAACCAGCCACATAGGAGAGAATGGAATTTCTATTTCAAATGCATTTTTATTCATGTGTTTTACTGCATGAAAATGGTCAGGTTTGAATAGGCACTGATACTGGCCACATGCAACAAATCAAACTGTATAAACCACCCAAGCATGATGTTAGCGGGCCAATGAACACCTGGAACCACTACAATCATCCTCTAAATTAATTTACCACCATGACAGACTGTCCTGACCGATACAAAGCTTTCTGAGATTAATTTAAGTCAAGGGATCCATAGCACTGACATCCAGTTCTTCAGATTATGCACAATAGTTTTTCAGGGCTGTGCAAGCAGCAGATTTAAAAGTTTCTTATTTTTCTGCATGAACAATAACCCTTACCTTGTATCAACATTTCTAAAAAAGCTGCACAGAGCTTCATCGTAAATTCCTTTTCTGGAAAAAGAAAATGGTTTGCATCTGGTTATATATTTTTAAAAACACTAAAAAGATGTAAGAACAGCTCTACAGTATTCATTTGCCTATGGCGTGAACCTAACCACAAATGTAACGGTCTAGGCTTCAAATGATTCCTCTGGAGCTCTTTAAATTAGAACTATGGCTTCCTCCATATATATTATGCTGCATCTGTGCTTACCAATTTACCTTATCTCCCCTACATAGTCTCACAATACTGGCTGACCCTACCAGTGTAGTCATCTAATGCAGCTTCCTGTGATGGGGGGACAACACTGCTGCACTGCTACCAATTCAAAGCAGCATTGTACAAATTGTAAATGTATGGTGCAAGCTTTAAAGACTAGACCTAGGTTGTCCACAGATTCTTGACTTGGCATTTGAAAGATAAATGACAGGAGGTAAACCAGGTTTTCAGCCTCTTGATTGCCCACAAGGAGTGACGTGATCCTACACATGTGCACAGAAGTCAGTCAATCCATGTGCAACAGCACAGGAGGCTGTGAGCAAGTAGGCAAGTGTCTTATTGCAAAAGAGACATTTTCCACGTGTCTTCTGCAATAAAGAGCTGCCTCCTCCCGATTTTTTTAAATGCTAAGGTTAGTTCCACTATAATTAAGGCTTTGGTTAAAATGCATTAGCACTTTGCTGAGTTTGATAGAATGCACCAGCTTCCTCGTCTTTTATTGACTAAAGCATTGTGATGGATCATAGCCGGACTCCAGCTCATCAAATTGTATGCTTTGGAGGTGTGCAGGAGCCTGGGCTGTTGTGAGGCCAACATCCCTGGAGTGAATACTGGCATGAGAGTTACTCTTTGTGACACTTTTACATTTTTAAGCTATCACAGGCTCACTTTAACGTCTTAACCTCAGCATGTATTCACAGCATTGACCATGAGCAGAAACATACTTTAAAGGATAAGTTCATCTTTGGTAACATGTTACACCCGTATTTAGGGTGTACCATGTTACCAAGATTACCTGCCTGCACCTGTCCTGATCCCCCATTGTGACAGTGGGCAGGGGACCTTCTCCCCGCACCCGCTGTTACAATTCAAGAAAGCACAGTAATGCATGGCTCCACCCCACACGGCAGCATCATTCATTCAGTTTCCTGTGAATTAATGAACTACAAGGGTGCTGGCGAGCTCTCTTGTAGTTCATTGATTCCTCCTGGACTGACTGCCTGTATGGGATTTACGGCAGACAGTTGACAGAGTCTGCAGGATCCTGACATTGCACCTGTGCTCTGCTGATTGTGGGTGCAATGATTTATAGGCTGCAGAGTATACAAAAATAATAAATGCACATTTTTTTTACCTGCAAAAAGGTGTATTTATTATTTTTAAATCATTTTTTTTTTTTATACAAAAGGTAAACAGCCTTTAAGCCAAACAGCTCAGCATAAGCAGCCACATGAACACTTGTGAAGTATTTACTTTGCTTTGGACTAAGTTGAAGATGAGCTGTCATTAATGTTGTCCCTGCAGAACCTGCTTCTCCAGAACGCCTTCTCTGATTTGGTACCACTCAGGACTATTTTGAAGTGCAAGTCAGCATAGGAGCTTTAAACAAGTACGTGCCACCTTGGATTTAACAAAAAAAAAAAAAATCTGAAAAGGAAGTTGTTTTACCTTGTTGACGGAAGCATGTTCTCTCAATGCAAGGTCCCAGAACCTGCACCCAATCTGATTTCCACACTGCCCAACTACACGAGAAAATAAGAGCAATAAAAAATCTTAAAACATTGTCAGAAATTGATCTGTTGCTTAGGCTATAATTTTGTAAGACAGAATGTTCCCACGTTCAAAGCAGTTTCCAATTTATTGTCTTCCTATTTCAGTCTGAGAAGAAGCTACATTTTTACAAGTATTATTTTGGATTATAGGAAGATACCCACTTAGGGAATATCTAAAATCAACACAGATGGGGAGATTTTGCTAAAACACTGGTGCAACTGTACATAGTAACCAATCAGCTTCCAGGTTTTATTGTCAAAGCTTAATTGAACAAGCTGAAGTTAAAAGTTGATTGATTATGCACAGCTGCACCAGTTTAACTCAGTTTACAAGCTAGCCTGCAGGCTGTGGGCTGGTTGCGGGTGTAGGAATTGTACTTGTTCCCGCACCTGCAATGGAATCGTGCTGCTCAGCCTGCAGAACCGTTTTTTAAAAAGGTGCATGCATCTTTTTAATGCAGGAGATGCGGGCACAGCAGCCCATTGAAATGAATGGGCTACCGTGCCCAAGCAAATACAGGACAGCACGGTCCGCACTAGTGTGAACCAGGCCTTCGCAAATCTCCCCCACAGAATTGGAACTCAAAGATCTTTTAGCAACTGCACTCTTCTTACCATTTACTAATGACGATAACTAAAAGTATGTCCGTAAAGTTCAGCATGTTCATTCAATGCATGGTCTGATTATGAAAGTGGCACAAAACATGGAGTCTTTACAGCAATCTCTCTGTGACTCAGGGTCACATGTGGCTGAATAGCATAGCCCCTAAAAGACTCTACAACAACAGAGAGTTGAGAAACTGAGAAGCTGATCTTTCAAGAGTACATAATAAACTAGAAAAGCTACAATTTCTGGGGAAATTGTGTGAAGTGTTTCTTGCCTCCACCAGTAGTCTACAACTCACACTCTAGCTTTTGTCACTCTGCTGCCTGCTCACACACCTGGCGTATGGCAACTCACTCTACAGCAAGGGCAGAGAAGAGCGGTTAAAAAAAACAAACTGCTCCAACTTGCTCACTTCACTGGTGGTTGCCATCTTCAAACGGTTGTAGTTTGAAAAAAAAACCTATAAATCCTACAGCGAAGAACTTTATATTGTGAGAACAGACCTACATTTTGATGCATAGTATGTCTCTGAAATATTAAAAATAAAGGCACAGTCACATTTTAGATATTGCCCTTCAAATTTGAGGTGGCTAGAGTGGAGTTTCAATGAATGTCAATGAATGGCGTGAGTTGCAAACAAATGGTCATATTATGAAAAACTATCAGGACTATGGCTTAGCCCTGGACATTTGTAGTGGCACAGCAGGGATAGCTGAACGTTTTGATATAAGATTTGTGTAGGGGGCTTGAAAATGAGGGAGGGGGGGCAGTTTAGATATCATGTCCTGATTTTTTATCTCACACCTAGCTTTTTGCGCGTGCCGCTCCCACTCTCGTTTTGAAACATTCCGCCATTCATTCCTATGGGACCAATTTCACCACAAAAACGCCGATATTTCGTGAACCATGCGGTGAAACGTTCCACAAAGTAATAGCACACCAATCGGGAACAATCCGCACGTTTCGGGTATATTACTGTCTATGTAGTGTAAAAAACTGTGGGAGGAGTTAGGGTTGGTAAATTTTGGCTATAATAAGAAGAAATATATATGTGAGATAACAGTAAGTGGTCTTGCCATGCATGAACACTTAAACAATACTAAGCCTTTAACAGACAATAGCATACTAGTTTACCAAAATTATATTTGCGATCAGCAGCGGGTGTCAAGTGAATTACACCCAAACATAGTGCGTTGCCTGTACTGGATCGCGTTGCAGCAAGTTTGCGAAAGTAGTGCATGAATTTGGTGTGGTAAAGTGTGATTTGAGCTAAAATGAATGAACTCAAATCGTTCCACACTGAACTGCATGTTAATTGCAGTGGAATGCATAACCAAAAAAAAAAAGGTTATAATTCTATGTCCACAATTTATCCAGAGAAAGGCAAGAAAAAAAAAATCCAGAAAAGCATGATCCAAGCTGACAGCTTGAGAGGAGAGGACAGCTGTAATCGGCATCCCTCAGAGGGGACATGTACACTGATCATCAGAGCACAGATGATCAGTGTGCCCTGATGATCAGTGTAGCCCCAGCAGTGCCACCTATCAGTGTCCATCAATGCCAGCTGTCAGTGCTCATCAATGCCACCTGCCAGTGCCCACCAGTGCCGCCAGTGTCATATATGAGCGTTGCCTTTCAGTGCCCAGGGATGCCTGTCAATGCCCATCAGTGCCACCTAACCAATGCCTCCTAATCAGTGCAGCCTATCAGTGGCCATCACTGCAGCCTCATTAGCGCACATCAGTGAAGGAGAGAAACCACTTATTTACAAAATTTTTATATAACAAAAAACGAAGAAAAAACTTTTATTCTAAATTTTTGTTGTTTTTGGTTTGTTTAGCAAAAAATAAAAAACCCAGAGGTGATTAAATACTACCGAAAGAAAGCTCTGTCTCAAAAAAATTATAAAAATTTCATATGGGTACACTGTTGCATGACCGCGCTATTCAAAGTTTGACAGCAATTGTCATTCAAAGTTTTAAAAAAAAAGAAATTTTAAAAAAAAATTTTTTTAAAAAAAAAAACAAAATTTTTAAAAATACAAAAAAAAAAAAAAAAAAAAAAAAAACGCTGAAAATTGGCTTGGGCAGGAAGGGGGTTTTAAGTGCCCTGTAGGGGCTAGCGGTTAAAGGGCTTTATTTCCTCATTACACTTCCTGACTACCTATCACAGTTTCGGAGGCCCCCCAAATACCAGGATAGTACAAAACACCCCCCCAAATGACCCCTTTTTGGAAAGTAGACACCCCAAGGAACTTGATAAAGATGTATGAAAAGCATTTTACAGATCTTGTTTGTTGCAACAAATTTTTGGAAAATGAAGAAAGAAAACAAAGCTACAACTTTCACATAAACCAATTAATTTACACCTATTAGGATTTTTTTTTAGCAAAGACAACACAATACATTTTGGCCTAAAATTTATAACGAAATTTTATTTTTATACTTTTTTTTACTGGACATGTTTAATAGCAAAAAGTCAAAAATATTGTTTTTCTCAAAACTGTCAGTCTTTTTTATTTATATAGTGCAAAAAAAGAAAAAACAGACAGGCGATCAAATACCACCGAAAGAAAGCTCTATTTGTGGAAAAAAAGGACATAAAATTCATTTGGGTGCAGCGTTGCATGACCGCGCAATTGTCAGTTAAAATAACGCAGCGCCGTAACGCAAAATATGGCCTGGTCAGGAAGGGGGGGTAAATCCTCTGGAGGACAAGTGGTTAACTACTTGCCAACTGCAGATACCCGAATGATGGCTACACAGCGGCCGGCAAGTTCTGGGAAGGGTGTCATATGACGTCCTCCCAGAACGCGCTCTCCTGCGCGCCCCCAGTGATCTCCGTGAGTGCCGTGTCCTACGGACACAACTAATCACGTGATGTGGTGAAAGACCAATCACAGCGGCCTTTTACCACGTGTCAGCCGTGTCCAATGACACAGAGCGTGAGGAAGGTACTGCCGAGAACCGGCAGTTGTCAGAGCAGGGGATCGGCACTGATGATCAGTGCCCTGATGATCTGTGCCCAGCAGTGTCACCCACCAGTTCCCGCCACCTGTGCCCAGCAGTGCACCCACCTGTTGATAGCAGTGCACCCATCTGTGCCACCCAGCAGTGCCACACACCTGTACCCCGAAGTGCCACCTACCTGTGCCCAACAGTGCCCACCCACCCCCTGTGCCCAACAGTGCCACCCACCTGTGCCCAACAGTGCAGCCCAGCAGTGCTGCCAGCCAGTGCCCAGTGGTTCTGCCAGTCAGTGCCCAGCAATTGCACCAGTCAATGCCTAGCAGTTGCGCCAGTCAACGCACATCAGTGAAGGAGAAAAATTACCTGTCTGAAAAATTTTATAACAGAAACAAAGAAACTTTTTTTTTCAAATTTTTCTGCACTTTTATTGTTATTATAGCGCAAAAAGTAAAGTGCCCAGCAGCGATTAAAATACCACCTAAAGAAAGCTCTATTTGTGAGAAAACAAAAGATAAAAAATTTCATATGGTAGGGGGTACCCAGCGCGTTTAAATACAGACCTAATGTTGCATGACCGCATACCGCAATTGTCAATCAAAGTGCAACAGCACTGAAAGCTGAAATTTGGCCTGGTAAAGAAGGGGGTATAAGTGCCCGGTAGGCAGGTGGTTAAGCAATGATTGATGTGTGCCTCTCAGATAAGTTACCTCTGACAACAATTATGTTCTCTTTTAGCTGCAATGGCGGGATCTTCCCAATGACTACAAATATGAGGAACATTCTTCCCCTGACCCTCTCACTCGTGTCCCTGACACTTGAAGGGTTTTTTTTAATGGCTCCTCAATGTAGAAAAAAAAGCCTGAGAAAGGTTGCAGCAAATATCAGGTCCATCCCCACTTACAGAACTCCTCCACACACGGACGTGCCACTTATCAAGTTAGAAGAGGGAGCAAACTTTTAGACTGGCACCAGCAGAAAAGGAAAAAGTAAAGGCAGCCATTCATCACGTCCAGTATCTCCATTATTCCTCACCTTGTACAACTATAGACTGTGTCATCTCTCCCACACTGGCAGCACTGCTTACCGCTCACAATACCTGCCTGCAAGAGGAACGTTTCTTTCTGTTCTTGTACACGGCGGGGGCACATTTCACATCAGCACCGGTCTCCAGCGTGAGTTGTTATGCTTGGCGCTCCCTGGCGGCATAGCAACGATGTCAACGGCTGGGAAGATCGCTCTGTTCCACGGAGACGCCATTTTTGTGGAGTCCTGGCAAAACGCTACAGGCTCTTCTTACTACAAATGGCAGGAAGGAGGCGGAGACGGGGAGGGCTTCACTATCTCATCTTTTGCCGGGAAAGTTTACCATTAATTAGATAGATGATCCCACAAGAACTAGAGCGACACAGCAGTTTCCTCAATAGGATTTATTTTTTGGAGGAGGTTTGATTAGATAGTTTGGGGATCTCACACACCAAAAGATGGGGCATTATTCCTCCCACTGACACCAAAAATGGGGCATTATTCTTCCAACTGACACCAATGATGGGCATTATTCCTCCCACTGACACCAAAGATGGGGCACTTATTCTTCCAACACTGACACCAACACTATTCCTCCCACTGACACCAACGATGGGGCACTATTTCTCCCACTGACACCAATGATAGGGCATTATTCCTCCCTCTGACACCAATGATGGGGCACTGTTCTTTCCACTAACACTGATAAGGCATTATTCCTCCCTCTGACACCAATGATGGATGGGGCATTATTACTCCCACTGACACCAAATGGTGGGACACTGTTCTTCCACAAACACTGTTAAGGCACTATTCCTCCCACTGACACCAACAATGGGGCATTATTTCTCCCACTGACACCAATGATGGGGCATTATTCCTCCCACTGACACCAACAGTGGGCCTTTGTTCTTCCACAAACATTGGCACCAACGATGGGGCACAATTCCTCCCACTGACACCAACGATGGGGCATTATTTGCCTCCCTCTGACACCAATGATGGGACACTATTCCTCCCACTGACACCAATGATGGGGCATTATTCCTCCCTCTGACACCAATGATGGGACACTATTACTCCCACTGACACCAATGGTGGGACACTGTTCTTCCACTAACACTGATAAGGCATTATTCCTCCCTCTACACACCAACGATGGGGCATTATTACTCCCACTGACACCAAATGGTGGGACACTATTACTCCCACTGACACCAATGGTGGGACACTGTTCTTCCATAAACACTGATAAAGCATTATTCCTCCCATTGACACCAACAATGGGGCATTATTCCTCCCACTGACACCAATGATTGGGCACTATTCCTCCCACTGACACCAATGGTGGGACACTGTTCTTCCACAAACACTGACACCAACGATGGGGCACTATTCCTCCCACTGACACCAAAGATGGGGCATTATTCCTCCCACTGACACCAAAGATGGGGCATTATAAACACTGGCACCAACGATGGGGCACATTTCCTCCCACTGACACCAACGATGGGGCATTATTCCTCCAACTGACACCAATGATGGGACACTATTCCTCCCACTGACACCAATGATAGGGCATTATTCCTCCCTCTGACACCAATGGTGGGACACTGTTCTATCACAAACACTGATAAAGCATTATTCCGCCCACTGACACCAACAATGGGGCATTATTCCTCCTACTGACACCAATGATGGGGCATTATTCCTCCAACTGACCCCAACGATGGGACACTGTTCTTCCACAATCACTGTTAAGACACTATTCCTCCCACTGACACCAATGATGGGGCATTATTACTCCCACTGACACCAACGGTGGGACACTGTTCTTCAACAAACACTGATAAGGCACTATTCCTCCCACTGACACGAACGCTGGGGCATTATTCCTCCCACTGACACCCAATGATGGGACACTGTTCTTCCACAAACACGAATAAGGCACTATTCCTGCCACTGACACCAAGAATGGCACACTATTCCTCCCAGTGACACCGAAGATGAAGTACTATTTTTTCCCTAATTCTAGAGATGTTCTTTCTACGCCCACTGATGCCAAAACAATTTATGTTCCTAATGGCCACAATCTCACCCCCTAAAGTCTGAATGACAGTAAAATGGTCCTTTGTTTAGAAAGTGTGGAGACCCCTGTAGCAATTGTGCATACAAAGATGGACACGGTCCTCCATCTTGCTAAGGATCCTCCATCTTGTATCTCTCTCAGCCTCCAAATCCCCCCTCCCTCTCTGCTGAGTGACATGTGGTCTGTCTGATGCAGAGATCACAGGCAAACACATTGGGAGGGTGTCATGGTTGTCACGATCGTGGCGTCAGACCCCAGACCTTCTCACCAAACTCGTGACTGAAGGACTAGCCACTCTAGAACCACAATGGCATGTGCGTAACAAGGCCACACCCAGCTGCACCCTGCACAACGATTTTCCAGCTAATTGGACCACAAAAGATGTACCGGCAGCCTGAGCGATTGTTACTGGGTCAAGTTAATTATGCAATTAACCCTTCACACTGCCACCACCTCCTTTTTGTACAGAGAAAGAGGAAACTTGGCGATATCAGTTATAACACTATAATGGTTGAGGTAATCGTCTGTATAACACGGTTATACAGAGGGTTAAACAAACTCAGTAGCGTTCTCTTTAGAGGCAGGAATTCGTCAGCAGGGGGTGTCTCTGAAGTCAAGAACCAATACCCTGCTTAGGGTGTGTAGGTATGGGCGGATACCTCAACTAGAGCCAAAATCTCCCTTAACTCATATTTTGGCCCATAACTTTCCATCTGCACAAGTGACATTCCACCCGCGGGTAGATTATTATGCAGACACGTCTGAGGATTGATTCGAGATGAAATATGTAATTCTATACTGAACGGTTCACAAGATCTATTTTTCTGCTTTCCTGTGTATTCGAGACAAGGCAAGTGACCTACTAAACTGTTCACCTTCTCGTGGCCAATCTGACGATATGTCTGGTTTTTATGCAAGTCTCTCATATTCCAAGATATGAGACATAGGGGAAAAATGAATTTTAACAAAGGTTATCTGATTCTGTCACATACGCTGAGTTAGATTTATTAGGTTGGAATCTCTTTCAACTCCTGGGAAAGCTTGCCTTATTTCTTACGAGGTGTTACAATTTGCAGGTTCTTTGGACAGGGAGGCCTCGGCTCCCTTGGGGGGCTTTATAGCTCCTGTGACCCTTCTGTGACATTCCTAACACACAAACATACTGGCCAAATGTCGGTGCGCCTCTCAAAGAGGGAAAGGGAGAATGAGGGGGAAATATGTTTGTCAGGATGATTTACCCTTTTGTCAAGATGGAGGTTCTTACCAAAATTGAGGTCTGCGGCAGTCTCTGGGTATACGCTGTTACAATGGTTATAAACCCCAATTAGCCTGTCTCCCGTATGTCTGCGAGACTCTTGCTTAGAAAAGGATCGTAAAACCATAAACCAGTCCCTCGCTGAGCTTCAAAGACATTCCAGATAAGCTGTAAAACAGACATCACATTCAAAATCCATTTTCCCCTATGATTACATATCTTGGAATATGGAAGACTTGCATAAAAACCAGGCATATATTCAGATCGGTCACTTTAATACAAGTCGCTACTAAATGCACCGAGGGTAAGTTATGGACCATGATATCAACTGGGAGGGTTTTTGGTTCTAGCTTGGGTCTCTGCCCCAACACCCTCCCCAAATGAGGTGATTGGGTCTCTGCTTCAAGGAGACACCCTGCTGAGTTCCTAGAAAAGCTGTTATGCTTGGAGCTAAGCTAAGCTAAACTGAGTTGAGCTAAATTGAAGAATTCTCCCTTTTAACATTGGAACCAATTTTGGGAGATAAAGGCCCTTTTGCTCAGAAAACTTGAAAGCTGCTTAACACAGGACCTTTGGCAAGTACTTTATCTCTCTAAACTTCTTTCTGTTATGTCTTTGCTGTGTTATTGCTCTCTGTATATTTATATATTGGTTACATCTTTTTCTGTAAATATTTTTATTGCACCCTTTTGACCTTTTAGTAATAAATCTTACTTTCTGAAAGTGTTGAACTGTTTCTAAAGCTTTTTAATGCAAACTAAGAATCCCTGCCTCTGATGAGCGCTACTGTGTGTGTTTAAACCTCTATATATCCCTGCCTGCGGTGACAGTGGTATACGAACGATAATTCAAACATCATAGTGTTATTGCTGATATTGCCGAGTTTCCTCTTTCTCTGTACAAAAAGGAGGTGGTGGCAGTGTGAAGGGTTAATTGCGTAATTAACCTGACCCAGTAACAATCGCTCTCAGGCTGCAGGCACACAGATTGTGGTCCATTAAAATATTTGTGCATGGTGCAGCTGGGCGTGGCATTGTTATGCACATGACAGCGCAGTTTTAGATTGGCTAGTCCTTTGGTCATGAGTTTGGTGAGAAGGGCTGGGGTCTGACGCCGCGATCGTCACAACCCCTGCTCTACCTTTTGCTCACATGCAAATAGGTGATGTATTGTGAATATATCACATACTTGCACACCTTTCCATACATCTTCCACGTTTCATGCACTCAGCACTTCCCATCGCAGGGGCCACAGTGCTGCAGACGCCTGTCTCTTTCATAGAGACCTCAAAGCAAGGCCCCTTGCACAGGGGCGTTATAATTTATTGATGCTCAGGAACTTGTGACACCTGCGTGCAAGGGGTCAAAAACTGTGTGTAAAGACCTGAGTAATGTTGGGTATAAGTGAATAAAGGTGTGTAAGTGTATAGATGAGTATAGACTAGGGTGGCCACCTCATCCCTTTAAAACACTCTGTGGCTGAATAACCACTTGCCTACCGGGCACTTATACGCCCTTCTTTACCAGGCCAATTTTCAGCTTTCAGAGCTGTCGCACTTTGAATGACAATTGCGCAGTCATGCAACATTGTACTTATATGAAATTTTTATAATTTTGTTCACACAAATAGAGCTTTCTTTTGGTGGTATTTACTCACCACTAGGTGTTTTATTTTTTGCGCTATAAAGAAAAAAATAGCAAAACATTTGAAAAAAAAAGTTTTTCTTTGTT